GGGTGGGTGAGGAGGCAGGGGGTATTACAGTATGAACCATTCAGAACCAGTGCCAAGTCATTGATAGGAGCGACCAGGCGAGGTCAACTATTTGTACGCGTGACAGACCCCTCCAGGGAATCACGTCCTTCTATTGATGATGGCGTTTGCCCACGTACTACACGCATTCCCTATACGTGTCCAAAAAAAAAAGTATATAGATTTCCCAACGACTATCACTCATGAATTGAACGAGATACCATAGAGCATTCTTGAGTAATTCATAGTTAATGTTTAATAGTTTGCAAGCCTTCGACCATGGCATTGTCAGTACACAGTGAGAAAGGTTTATTGAAAAATATGGAGACGATTTCGATCAAGCTCTCAGATGATGATCAGATCACACCTGAATCGTATTACCCGAAGAAAAAAATTACTCTGAATTAATTTTCTTGGCACAAGTAAGTGTACAGAAATATTCGCATTCTGCGTTAGTATTTATTATTATTTTAAAAGTTTATTAAAGGTCATAATATAATAATTCTCCAGAGCATATGTTTATCATTAATGGAATCTATAATGTGAATACCGGATTTTGGGCAATGAATTTTTTTCTGTCCCTGAGTGGTATATCTACGAATTTTTAAGTTTTCACTCCAGATGGTGAAAAGGAAAGAGAATAATTCTACTTAATGAAAATAGAATGTATCACTGGAGAATAATCCTGAGAAAATACTTCTGCAGGTTTATCAAATAACAGAGTGCAAAGAAGATGGTCGAATATCTCAGAGAAAAAAAACTTACAAGCCATGAGGATTGTTAACTGCAATGAGGGAGCCGAATTATGCAGTAGTAACGTTGCAACGTAATAATAAAACACAATTCGTACGCCTGACCAAGCTAAGTATGCGTCATACCACTTTATTCTCGGACTCGGTTAATTGTTCTAATTAAGAGGATCCCAGCTCCAGAATAACTCGTCGGAGTTATATTTGTCCGTATACAACTATCCACCCGCTTCCCTTTCCACAGTTGTCGGGCTATTTTTACACCATAGAAAAGAAAGCCTAAAGACAAAAAAAGAAGAAGACCAATGAAAAAAATGAAATAATTTGCAGTCGCAATGCCCACCACCATTCGTCATTGCGATTGTTATTTCATCGTACACCATTTCATAATTTATTATAAAGTATATATCCACATGAAAGAGACCACTTGGGTAGTATTGGATTTATGCATAAGGATATGAACATAATATTGCTATTTTTATTTGTATTTTGGGATGCGGTGCAATCCGCCATTCTGGTCCAGAGTTCTCCTGAATAGAGCGAAAAATTGGAATGAAAATAATACTAAAGCGGAATGATGAAAACAGAGCAGGCGAAAGACAAGAGAGAAGGAGGAGGGTGGTATCAGAAGGTGAAGGAGTCAAAAGCGAGACAATGTGAGATAAACGAATGAAGGAATGAGAAATAAAAATTGCAGGAATAAAATGGAGTTGGGGAGTTCGAGCGACTAAACGAGTTTTTGACGACAGCAGTCGGAGAAAATATATACATATATCGATATACATGTATATATCGTAGTTTGTTTCTTGTGTTGGTCCATTCGCATCTGTAGCACATTGCCAGACAGCAGGGGAAGAAGGTGTGCTGTTAGCTCCTGAGAGGCTTTGCTCGCACAGCAATGCCTAAGTACATAAGCCCCAGAGAGCGAAACCGGGGGAAGCCGACGAGGAGGAGGTTGGCCACCTATACAAGGACCTAAGCGGTCAGTGGGAACGGAATGCAGGTACAAGTCCCTCATTCCCCTCGCCCTTTGAGATGCCCACAATCTCTTTCTCTCTTCATTCTCACAGCACCACCATATCCTTTCCTTCCCTCCTCACCTTCACCACCACCCCCAAGACCAAACATCACCACCATGTCTCCTTATTCTTCCTTCCTCCTTGTTTTTTAACATGAAAATAATTAAACAGTCAAAATTACCATCATGGAGGTCAACGCTATGGCAACGCAGTAAAGGCCCTTCAACGGGCCCAAAATCCTATATCCTATATTTCCGATATCCTACATTTAATTATTACTATTTAATTTTCTCCGTGTGGGCTGATAAACAGTAATTAATACCAACGATAAAAGTATTCGTATGAGTTTGATATTATGATGCTAGTATAGGTACCAGCTGAGTCTATGTGAGAAGCAGTAGGAAGAGAGGCTTGTGAACTCATGGATTGCAACACTAAAACTACTTCTATCTTTCCCCCTTCCTTCTGCGGTATGCCACCTTCTCCGACCCTCATGCTAATGTTTGTACTATATATTTGAGACTTGAAGTGTTGCTACGCGGATTTGTTCTCCAGTAAAATAAAAGTACACTGTCAGCTAATCGTTCCCTTTTTTCATTCATTGTTGAGTGGTATCTTTTGGTCCATCTGATATTAAAAATTGTGACAAAATCTGAAATAATAAAATTAAGATAACTGTGTGGACATCGTGACTCACAGGAGTTAATTTAAACAGCGATCTCGAAACACTGAATTTTGCTCGTGGGGAGGCTGCGTCTGGAATGCCACTGTGGGCCGGTGGGAGCCCTAAGATACAAAAATAAAAACGTCGACATTTTAATGAAAATTTTTTCATAGATTCTGACTCTGTCTGAGTTTAACCATCAATGCTCCAGTGGGCACGTTCTCTGAATTCGGAACTCGTTTCTTGAAGTTCAGTTTGATAATTATTATAGGCCATCCATATTTGAACTCACAGATTGTGATATTTATAATCTATACTGAGTGTTTGGATCGTTGAGCGTTTGCATTGCAAATATCTTACATCTATTTTGAGGGTTACTGTGCGAAATTAAGGTACTCGTTGCACCTGCCGGAGACAGTGTGCAATAATCGCAAGTCTCATTCGAGAGTGCACCCCATCCTTTAAAAACTCGTTGAAATATATTATGCCCATCTCATTACTGTAATTATGATCAATTATTCAAATTTTATAACACCTATTATTTCCGTCTACAAAGTGTGTATTCCTCAGGGTTATCGGGAACACTTAGAAAAACTTGAAAAACAATTTTGAAAAATGCAAGCTAGATCCAAAGCGGTTTAAAATTAAAAAATTATATCATAAATATCATAAATTCTCGTCAAAATGATTGTACATAAGAATATAAAAACAGGTAATAATAGACGAAAAAACGTCATGCCCTTTCCGTAATTTACGGAAACCTACACAATGTTAGGAGCGCGTCAGAGAATGCTTTTTACGTGAGTATATTTCACGTGGTGACGGTACCGGGTACCCGTTGTTCCTACGAAGAAAACGTGGATACCTAACGTCCTATACGTTTTATATATACGCGTACGTGCAATCCAACAGTCGGCGTGGGACCACCGCAACTGAAAAAGTCGCACGGCGGAACAGGGGTGCTCACTTCTAGAAAATTAGACGAATCCACGTGCCCACACATCCTTTTTATCCCCTTGAAACATCATATACATGATATACTGGCGCAAAAATATTCGTTCATTAAACTCATCATTAATTAATCAAATTGAAACATTCTACATCGACTGGAGTATTCAATATTAATAAACCTCAAATACCTTTCTTATCATTCCAACCAATTAAAAAAGTTTCTAAGTCAGAATTATCTAAACCTACCTCATGGCTGTAACATCACAGGGTCATTGAACTCATTAATGAAAAAATTAATAATCAGCCTTGTAATCAGGGAAGATAATGAGATAAGCCGTACAAATAGAACTTGTTGAGTGTAAAATTCGTGGTGAGAATTGTACTGTGGACATGACGAGTTCAGTACTATCATTATTCCTACAGAACCGAAGGAATTGTACAACGAGAGCAGCTGATGGATTACTTCTTGCATACATGACCACGGGTTATTGGAAGTACAAGAGAAATGCTCAAGATGAGAGGGAATGTGGAGTGGAGAGAAGAGGGAGAAAATAAGATCTCACGGGTCGGTGAAAGACATCGACAAGTTGAAAGGAGCAAGAAAAATTCGGGCAGGATGCTTCTGTTGATTATGGTCTGTTTCAAGGTGTAGAAAATCAGGGTGCAGAGCGGGGAAAAAGGAGAAATGGCAAAGGGATAAAATGTAGAGGACTGCCTGCTTCGAGATGGGCACGTGTCTCCTGCCAGGACATCTGCTTCTCAAAAGGCTCCACTGTTACCTTTCCATTATATCGTTTACTTTAGAAGCCTGGTGCTCAGCACACTCTCCTTCTCTTTTTCATTCTGCAGTATATATAACCTATGAGTTGAAACAGCTGGCCTCCTTCTACTGCCCTGCTGCCTCGATTTTGGAGTACACCTGCCCTTGAGGGAGACATCCAAAAGTAAAGAATAAAAATCCCCATCATCAACTCTGGTTTCTTCGTTGAATGCGACCATAAAAATTTTGTGATCCACATTCGAAGCGGTTTTGAGAGATGTAGATGAAGACACCATTCTGATATCAATCATAATTTGATGATCCAAAATTTTGTCTGTAAACTGAGTTTCAATATTTTCGATGACTTTACGATAATTTATTCATTGGAAATTTATCACAGTGAAAATCAAAGAGCTCTTCAACACCCGGAAGCCAAACTCTTTTGGTTTCTTTTGGTTTTTTATTTGACGATCAAGCTGAGTCGGCGAGCAGACAAAAAATATATGAGGTGTGCTCCGGCGGTCGATGTGACCGAGGCCGGAATTCGGACGGGGAGGCAGTGAAAGGAAGCGGGTAGAACAAGAAGAGAAGTTTGTGCGTGTCTTTCGGCATTTGGTCGTGGTATTGTGGGGTGACATAATTTTGTAGGATGTTGCACGGCGCTCGTCGGCTCGTCGCTATTTCGGGTCGGGCGTCGACCCAGCACAGACGCCTCCCAGACTATTACTTCAATGCAAACGCAACGTTGAAACTCCACCATCTTATATCAATCATTATTCTTGAATTTTTTTCATTTTCCATTTATTCCCATCCTTGCCAAAATGACTGAATTAATCAGGTATCTCTCACTACCTGTTCGGCTCGCATTTTATATCCAATCTCCTCATTTTCAACAATTACGGAACACTGTGCTAACTGCGTGTTAGCTGGGAATTCAAGTGCTGTAGGTAGATGGTACGATGAATGGGTTGTAGGTACACGTACCGAAAGGAAGTTCGTTTCCTTCCTACGTCCGATGTCACGCGCAGCGGCCCGTTTATATAATCCATCCTGTGACGTCAGGCAACACGTTCAATCCATTCATTACTGTGAATCGACTGCTATACACTCTCCTCTAACACGTATATAAACGTTTGTATATATTTCCAGTGGTGAGAGTAAGAGAGATAGGTGCGAGACCTACGACGGAAAAACCTAACGGAATTAGTTCTCCCTCTTTTTTCCATGACGCGCCGGTTCTTCCGAGTCAATATATCCGGTTAGATATGATCAACTATAACGGCTGTTTCCAATTAAGTTGGAAATAATTGAAGAATATGCGCATTTGCCACAAAATGTCACATTCCATTCTAAAACATTAAATTACACACGAGAATACTCGAGACTTTTTCATCGATTTTATATCTTTTCACTTGAGCGCATGCAGTAATTTTACTGCTGTTCATCGTATCGTACTTCTATTTTTCCGATGTTATATATAGCATACGAATGACGTAAGGACTCAGTTACGCGATAAGAATTCTGACGCCTCCATTCACAATCAGTCATCGAGCGCAAAGCCAGGGCCATGATCTATAGAGTTAAAACTCATTACTATCAATACTGAACTGGAAAAAGATGATGGACGAAGTTGGCGAACGTGATGTGAGTGAGATTGATTCCATCAATGAAATTCAATCAGATGTACTTTTCGACTGATAAATCATAGAGGAATATTGTCTGAGTTCAACTGTGGCGTTGGTTAATTAATCTATTCGTGGAAATCACAACTCCGATCACGTAGAGATTTTCTCCCATCTCTTCTACCAAAATGGCCGAGAATAAAGTGCACATAAAAATTTTACATAAACGTAGTATAAAGGAATCGAAATTATAATTTTTTAATCGTTGCCATTGTTCAATGGTGTACGCCATTATGATTATATGGATCGTTGAAGCATGTTATTGTCCTTTGTGTTGTGCACAGTGTAATGAAGATAGTCTCCTGGATTAATTCTTTTTTCATAAGATTGTTAAGCCAACGAAAGATATACAAAAAGAAATTGATATATTATTATTTGCATATGCCATAAAAATTTTAATCTTACTGACTTCATAATCGACATGTATGAAAAATCAGATTTGGTTTTGCTGTGCGCGATTCATAAGAAAATCATTGCAAAACGATTGATAGCAAGAAATTTTATGGAACTGTTACGGAATTTTCTCGGATCGTTCCGGTATTTTTATCTGAATTTTCTGTGAAAAACTACAACATCGTCACGGTAATTTCGTTAATCACTTCCGATTACACAATTTGGTTGGATGATAGGTGTCTTATTAATCATTTTTACGTGCACTTCGGGGGAGAGAAAAGAGAGAGAAGAAACATTTTAGAGTATGAGAGCTGTAAAGAATGTGTGTTACGGACGTTTGCGCAACAGGTCAGACATGCGTTTGACGCAGGTGGCGCTCTGACACAAGGCCATTATCTGCTTCAAAACCATTCTTATCATATGCTCCGCATGATACGATTTTTTCCCCGCATTGAAGCCATAAACAGAAAGAAAAAAAAAATGAATATTTACCCACACGGGGAAAGTTAAATAATAAAAATTTCTAACGCGGAATTCGCGGCCAGTAAACGGTACTAAAGTTTAGTAAGCATTATATTCATGAGCATGAGAACATGCTACACTATTAAAAGAAAAGAAAATTCCATGACACGATCAATTCTCACGGGCATAATGATGACCGCGATTAAAGGGCAGAAAATCAGAAAATTTCAAGTTAAACTATAAATTTTTAATTACAAGATGTGATTAAAAGACAAGATCCCCACATTCCGTACGGAAAATTCAATCAAAAATTTTAAACAGATTATTATGGCACATCGATAGAAAAAAATTGCACATTGGAATACTTGTTAAAGAAGTAGCAGCTTCGCTCCAGTCTGTCCCCGCCCCTGTCTGACACAACATTTTTCAAATCCGGGTTTTTCCCACACTTACCGAAGACGCTCTCTTCACCGTCAGTCGTGTATGTAAATTTTCGTCATTGTTCAAGCAAAATAACAATATGCTCATGTTTTCCTGTGCTCTAGCTTCGTTTCATCGATAATAAAAGTGTATCTCGGCTCCTCTGAAACAGAAAGAGCACCAAAGAATTATTACACTTCAAACCACATAAGCCAATGACAAGATTGTTTTTTATATATTTCCCGCTTAAACAGTTTAAAATTCCAAATGGGATGGTATATATGAAATCAAACGCATATCATCATATGAAGTTTAAAGTATCATGTTTCGAATTTTAAATGCATAATTTGAATTAAATCGGCCTTTCATGGGGGAAAAATGGAAAAATAGGATGTATTTTTTTTAAACCCACCACTGCGCTAGATTATCGTTAAAACAATAAATTGGAAGTTATAGATGCAAGGTCTCAAGAACGATTGATCGAAATGTAGGACTTGTCTCTCTGATATCTCTTGTTATATCTATTTCAACAGTCTAGAGTTCATCCAAACCCCGTTGTCTCCTTCAAATGCTCTTCACCAATGAGATCGCTCACTTCCAGCGAAGTCGTGTACAAGCATGACACATACACACACAGTGAAAGAAAAAAAAAAGGGAAGGGTGAGGTAACATACATTATTATGTGCTGTAGTAATAAGAGAGAGAACTGTCGACGTCACCAGTGCCGGAAATGGTGCGCACGAAGTGAATGACCTAGTTTTGCGTTATACGATCAACAAAAAAGAGAATCAATCGACTAAAACGTTAATACTAAAACCAAAGGGTTCGTTCGTCTCGTGGACTATTCATCCTTTTTTCTTCTCTCATGGTTCCATCGAATAAACATTAATACGAGATATTATGGTTATCATGAAAGCATAGACACATAAATGAAGTTCACCCGAGTCGAAATATTTCGAAATGTTACGAAAATATTTCGTAAGATTCGTTCTCTATTGGTCAACTCCAACTGGAAAATTTAAATTTGGCGCACAGAGTGCGCAGTAAGTCTCGTGGGAAATAACTCACGAACTTGGAGTCGTGGAGTTGGACCTTTGGAATTCCTCTCATTACAGAGGACGGGATAACAGAAAGAGAGAAATGAGCGGAGAAAAAGAGAGTGACGGATTTTAAAAGCGCCAAGGAACTTTCTAAAAAAATGATTCTGAGTTCGTTGAACCGGTCAACACCACGTGTATCGCCAATTGGTGTTATGTGAGAAAAAGAATTTTTTTTTTTTTGGGTCAGTGGGTCATTCATGATGGAACTTCTAAATGCGGGGAATATTTTAGGTGGCCTTTTGCATTTTTATCTCACGGTTGAGTTTATTCATTGAAAGAGAGACGAGGGAAAGAATTGTAATTCTCCACTTCTTTTTTATCGAACAATAAATAATTATTTTCCTTCTTTTTAACGGAAAATAGACGGCATCATGTATGTACCCTTGGGTTGGGGTGAATTGCTCAAACCCACTGTCGTGGCATTGTACTGTCGTAGGGTCGTGGGAAAAAGTACTATACCATCGTCGTGGTCTGCGCCGTGTGGTTCATTCATGGCAAGAACTTGAATGGAGCTCAGACTACTGCATGGCTCAGAGTGTACATGAGGAAGAAAGGGTAACGTCAGAGGGAAATCTCGTGTGTGCAGGACTTACAATGAAATGCATTTGAATTACCACGCCATTTCAATACATACAGTGGAATTTCTTCAGGAAGCGAAGATATTAATGAGCATATTTTTCAAAAAATCTTTCAACTGTCATTAAGTTTTACGAAATAATTGATTGAAACGAAAAATGAAGTGGTAAAACGGTTAGACTCCATAAACACAAATTAACGCTGAAAAACTGGTTGTGTCGAGGAAAATATTCCGTGAAAATAACGGAAATCAAGTTCGCTTGCTCATTACGAAATTGACTTGAAAAATTCAAGTGACTCTATCCCAATTTTGCATAAATAATTAAGATAGAAATTACGGATTGGATAATAATTATAAACCAGTTGCGTAGAATTTCCAGTATGTGATTCAGGAATTACAGATTGCGTTGACTGACAGAAATTTTAGCCTCGATTTTCTCCTTGTAATATATTGACGTAGATGAAGAACACGCGATAAAAAATTGATTGAGAAGTGATTAGAATCGGAATGGGAATTTCTAGTTGGGTTGTGATGGTTGGGCATGAGGTATACAGTATTTATGAAGAAACAGAAGGGATGAGCACCGCTGATACAGTGCAGAGAAGTTCCCACGGTCCTCTCAGGCCGTCACTAGTTATATCGCGCCTAGATATGTTCGTCCCTGGTGAGACTGACCAATGGTTTACACCGATAGGCCATTTTACCGAGCCAATCGCACTGTTAAACACGTACTCGTATACTGACACATAACCTGGCAAGTAACGGGTCAACATGAGCGCATAGTGACAGATCACATTGAGGTGAATAAAATCATGAGAAATGCATTTTCCATTTGCAAACATCTTTGCAACAAAAAGTTTCAGTTTTTCAGTGAATAGCTTATAAAAATGAAAATTTATCAATTTTTTGAAATTCAAATTTCAATAGAAATGGTGTCGGGTAAGTATTGAAATGGAGTTAAAATACTGGGTAATATTGAAAAGAACCTATCAAGTGAGGCTGTACCCGCGTCAAAGTTGAATGAACTAACGTGTTGATTTTTTGTTACTTCAACTTCTACTTTTCCTTTCGTTTCTCTCTGGTCCAGAGATCTATCTATTATTCGTGTCATTCGAAGGATATTTTCAATTTTCGTATCACGATTCTGGTCTCAGTAGTTCAAATATATATTTGAAATATATGTTCATATGTATGTATGCGACTGATTTTTTATCGAAGATAGCATAATAATAATTTATGTGATAAGGCCTTTCCAGCCGTCTGACATACATTGTTCTTTATCATGAGGCCCAACTCAGCGAGTTCTGAGTAGGCCTAGGCCGGTAAGTAACACTTACCTAAAATGAACGACTTTAGGTCGAAACTCGACAGAATTCTGGCTTAAAATATTTGTTTTGGTTCAGGTTTCATTGCAAATTCCACGAGTTGGATGATTTTTAAAATCCTAACGATGACAGTTCCTTGAATTATTATTGTTTTGATTAGTTTCATTTTCCCGGAAATATTCCGAATATTCAGTGGAATAGCAGACGAGAAGAATTTTTGGAATTTTGCCGAGAAAATTTAGACAAACATTTATACCGGTGTAGAATCTTCAACAACGTTCTTGACATTCTCGTAATAGGGTGGCCATGTTTGAGAGCTTACAACGCAGCAAGTTGGTAGTCGATAAAATAACGTGATTCTGGTAAACGAATACCATGGAACGCACAAGAGAGAAACTTTTGTGCCATATAAGGGCTTGTTTAGCCGGATCCCACGACCTGTCTTGTATACCCTCCACCCAGAAACGTAATTCCCTCTTCGTCCTGGCGCCTTCTTCTTTACGATTGATCTTAAGACCTTCCTCACTGTATTCATGATAGACCTTCATTCGTCCCCCCCCTTATCTCTGAAAAGGCGTCAGAATTCATGCTGTTCACATTATTGGTAAAAATAGTCCTCCTTTTTTGATGAGCCTGTGGAGCCTCGGTGCTTAAAACCTACGATTCCTGAATTGCTACGCTGATTTTGACTTTGAGAATGCTCATGTATCCATTTGTAATCTCGTCATATTGAACGGTCCATAGGTGGACGTATGTCCATTGCAATGTCTGAATCCAGTAAAAACGGATATTCATGGAATTTTATGAGAATTGACTGCATTAGGAAAATGGAGTTGTAAGAAAATGGAATTATATGTAATAGAAAAATTACCAACGAACAACTGAAAAAATAGTAAACGAAAGAAAGACCACACGAGGGAAAACGAATGATAAGGCGTGTGTATAGCTACTCGTATCGTACTGAGAATTGGTGGAACAAACGCAGCAGACCGTTCCGTCTCGTCGTGGCTGAGACTCTAATGACGTCATTATCTCTAATTAGGATCCTTATGAATTTACCGCCGATGCAGTCGCAGTCCCTCTTATTCTTGCACCTGGTCTATTACTTCACTGTTTGAATTCAAAAGCTTTTTTGGCGTTCGAGTTATCCCCAAGTAAAAAATTATTCATTCAATTTTCTGGCTAAACTGCTCATTCATGCACCATGTGGGTGCACTATTACTTTAATTGGAGACTTGAGAGTTTTTAAACTGAGGAAGTTTTTCCGCGAGAACTCAAGTATTGAGCTAGTTCAACCTGTTGCGTTTATATACCGCAACACAGTGAAGTGACGCAGAAGCAAATAAATTCAATATTTAATATTCCGTTTTATTCTATGTTGGATCCAATGATTGGCCTCAATTATGGACATTGGCTAATACTTAATGGAGCGGAATTAATGGGGGCCTCGTAGAACAACGCCGGAAAAAGATTTCCCTATCTTACTGAAAAGGAGGAATCGAGAAGACTGGGATATAAAAGTATTGAAAAGATGTGTTGTCTCCATTTGACACCGGTCTTGGTTATGACTTCTTATCACGTAATTTCCAAGATCTTTTACGGATGTTTTGCATTCTTTGAACGACTACGAATGCGCGTTTAAATCTTCATGCGAAGGGGAGGGAGGCGGGGGGCGCCCACGTGTATATGATGATGGTATATGTACATGATGAGTATTTGTATGGAAAGAAACATTCCTCAACATATGATAAAAGAAAACTTGTAGGTCTAGGAGAAAAATTATCTTCTCCATTCGATAATTACGTATACTATTTTCTCATATTATTCAATTGTTTCGACACTGAACATTTAAATGTTCCGATATTAAAACATCATCATTAATTATTTATCACAGATATTACAGGTAAATGCTTATCTGCAATAACTCGAATTGTTAGATCTTGTCTACCTGAGTGATAGTAGGACATTCTATAGAGAGGAAATATTTCTACCTCGTAAGATATTCAATTTGTCCCTTAAAATTTTCTAAATGCCTGGATATCGAAGGAAATGGCCATTCACGAGGAAAACAAAAATATTGAAATTCTTCGAAGTAATCTTGGGGCTTTTATATGACCAACAATATCAAGGCAAAAGAATGGTTTTCGTAGTTGGCCTTGGTACATACCTCAGTATTTATTCCGAAAATCCATGAGTGAATAACACGCAGTTCTCAGGTTGAACAAATATTCGTCGTAACTTTCAAGTTAATATTCATCACTATAATCGTCTTTTCACTCTCACTATTTCCCGGTGTCATTAACCTTGTCAACTTTATATTCAGAAACAAATAATTCATATGCTTACCGATAACCAAAGTTTTGTGCATTTGAAAAACAGAAAGAGAGGGAAAGCAGTCTGCATACGATAAAGTTTCACAGAACTGTAACTGTAGAAAAACTAAAGATTGAAAGGCTAATGAGAAGTCATTGGACATGTCTGTCAGAGCAATGATAGTTGTGTAAGCGTGGCGTCTTAGTTGGAGCAAGTGAGGCTTGTTAATGGTTAACGAACAGTAAATTGTATAGATTTCAAATTTACAAATTGACTTGAGGTAAAAATGGAGTCGGAGGTTTACCAAATATGCTTCGGGTATTAATTAAGATTGGTAAACGAGATGGACGGGGTGAGATGTATTTGTCAACAAGGAGAATGATTAATCGGTTGGATGATTGTGTAGGCGGAAGGAAGGAAGACGCGAACTGTCAAGCACCTTTGGTCGACGGGCGGTTGGCGGTTGGCGGTTGACGGTTGGTGGCTGATGGCTGACGGCGGCGAGCGAGGACTGAGGACTGAGTAGGCCAGCCGTATTCTTGCGGATCCCCTCCTCCATGGCACCTTCACGACTCAGCGACAGGGTGAACTGGGGGAAGAAGAAGAAGAAGGGGGAATGATGCGCATAGACTCGAGGTGGAAAAACTCGAGGACCGAGACCGTGTAACGCGCCGCGACGTCGAAGGACGCCGTTGGAATTCATCTCTCTCTCTCTTTCTTCCCCCCCACCGCGCCCCCTTTCATTTACATTCTTCGTTTTTTTTTTCATCTATGCTTGAAATTCGATGACTACACTGCGATTATCAGGCTCGTTTTTCAAACCTCGTCAAATCCGATTCTTCAATTCCACATGACGACCCATTCGGAAAATCATTTTAAAGCGGGGAGAGGAAAATAAATAATGTGGAGATTCGTGTTCTTTTTTTCAGTTCTTTTCGACATTGTATTTTCATCAATTATATTTTTTCAGGCCTTGCGTAACTCGCCATCTTGCGGTTATCTTGGACACTTCTCATCAATGGAACAAAATGGCCGACAAGCTTTGCCGAGTGGATACAGTTGGAGGGATTGGAAAATCAACAATTGAAAATTGAATTACAAGTTGATTTATACCTTCTTCGTGGGATTCGATAATGGTATATTGGATTTTTAGTATTCGTATTTTTAGGTGAAAGTTGCGATTTAGGAAGTCGTTTTTTTGTGTACCAGCCGCAACCGAAGAATTTTATTTCTCTCGGTGGTTTACAGACTTTGAATGGGTATGCATGGAATACGAAGGCGCAGTTTGCCGATAGCCTTCGAACCTACTTCGCAATCGATTTATACTCATTGATAATACAGATTCTCAATGAGCTATAATAGTTGTGAAACGTAGGACCGATTTAAAAACATTCAGTAAGTGCCGGTTGAAATAAGATGAAAAAGAAAATTAATTGATCATGAAAAGAGGAATTGAAAGAGTAATGGTTTTTTATTTTGAAACGGAATTCTTCGTAAATTACTTATTGTTGAATCTGTGAGTTACTATTAACTATTGCTATGACACTGAGAATATTAACAAATGTTATGTCGTCTGCTGCAATTTCTCATGGAATAACATAATTTTTAAATTATTCTTCTTATAATATTTGGATGATTACTTCTAGCTCCTTAATTCCGGAATTATTTACCATTTCCAATATATCCAGTTATATATATTATACATTTTCGTGACATGCGAATTTCACGCGAAAATAAAATCTCATATCTCCCTTGAAAAGTTTGGTTGCACTTTTCGATACTTCTGTCCTTTTTTGAGTGCAATCACCTTTACCCCAGGCGAGGCAGTAGGCGTTTTAATCAGCCCAACTAGTCTTAAAAGTTAAGTTCAGTAGAAACGTGAGATGTTCATACCAAAAAATTAAAGATTGATTAGCGTAAGACACACTGAAGGAAGATAGAAAAATATAGAATAGAGCAGAAAGTCATACAATCGACTCTGTCACTTATTCGTTCGCTTAAATTCTCGCAATGATAGTAATAGCAACAATAGATCTGGCCTTCACTTTGCCGATGGCACGAAACGCCAAGTGATTACCTACGAAAGAAGAGCAGAAAGTTACCAAGAGAAATATATTTCGTATATCATTTCATATTATATCTTCTATCGAGCGTTTTCGTCCCTAATATTTATGGAATAGTTCGATTCATTTCTTTAAAGTACTTATAATTTTGATGTTAGATCTGACGGGTGAACGAGCGATGAGGTGGTGTAAGAAAGACACAGGAAATGAGCGAGATCGCGATCCACGTCGTGCCACCTCGACGTCTCAAAATATCGCAGACGAATAAAATGGTCGTGCAGGCGACGCCGTCCCTCATGAAAATAGAAAATAGAAAAGGGATTTAGAAATAGAGCGAACGAGTGAGAACGATGCTTTACGGCGTCCCACAATTGTATCGTTCATTCTTTTGTCTGGTACGCATTTTTTAAGACTATCGAAAATTTGGATTGACAAAAAATTCAAAACAAAAACAAATAATAAACGCATGGAGATAAATTTTCCAGACAAACTTTAGGTGAATGAATTAGAAATATGCAACATAGAATAATGACTGAAGTTTTCAATTATATGATATAGATATATTACGCGAGATTTTCATCTTTTAGAGTGGGTCACGACATTATTTTGGGTGGAGGGTAAGAGAATCATGAACCTCGTGGCATTTATTCGGTTCAAGACTTTCTGTAAGCACCCATAGATATCCCGTATTGCAATGAGATAGATAGAGTTCAAGAGTTTATCGAGATTCAAAAAATATTTTTCTGTAGCCTTATAATCAGACAATCAAGCTGATACGTGATAATGATAATTATTATTTCACCCTGTGTTTACAGTCAGTGCGAAAAATTGAATTGTAAAGAATATATTTTTCAATAATTATTACTGAAATTTCCGATCACATGAGCTTCACACACCGATTCGATTTAAATTGAACGATGAATAATGCACGATGCATCGTTACTATTAGAGGGGCACACTGTAGATGGCGAGACGGAGTTATACTTCCTCGAATACAGCATCCTGCCGATTATATATTGACCAGAGTAATACAGTGTTCCCACACAATGGTAGAACAGGAGGAAGGGACAATACTTGTTGTGCCTGGTAACTTCCTTCCTCCCCGGTGGTATGGAACGAGCGAGTAGACGCGCGTTGTATACCAGCCGCATTTGCCTCAACTCTTTCATTTCATTTAATTTTTTTTAAATTCTCCTCTCCACCCCGTATGTTTCCATGCTATCGCTACTAACACTCTCAACTTTTCTGTTTGACTGTATGCGATGAGTGTACATGGATGTGCACGCATAGGCACTATACGGCTGAAGTAGTGGTTTCATTCATAAAACCCAACCAAGTATTACGAAACTGCTATACCACTGCTACAAGACATGCATAGTGGATATAGCTACCATCGAATGTACTGAAAAATCATCATTCGTTGGTTTTTCTGTACCACCTTGCCAACTGCTCGTGATAATTTTGATTTTTTATTAAACATTATCGGGAAAAGGGATAGAGAGCAAGTAGGAAAATTCATGGTTGAAAATAATCCAAATGAATCACTTATCCCTTTTAAAAAAAAGCTGGTAACGTTTTTTATCAGGTTTTTAATCAGATAATGATTTGTGGAAGAAAAAAAAATTGTATTTTTATCGATATTAATCTAACAAAAGATTGAATCTAAATGCGAGATAAAAATAGAATTTTTTTCATTAGAGCTGGATGGATATCTTCCATTGTGAAAATTCTCGGGAAAAATCAAGAGTTCTGAGTAGGGCAACCATTTCAGTGAGAACCTCCTCGATTTTCATGCTCCCCTGATACTTTTTCAAAAATTTTGATTTTTCAAATTCAGCGAATACCTCCTTGATTTTCATGCTCCCCTGATACTTTTTCAAAAATTTCGATTTTTCAAATTTCAGCGAATACCTCCTCGATTTTCATGCTCCCCTGATACTTTTTCAAAAATTTCGAATTTTTCAAATTTAAATGAATACCTCCTCGATTTATGAATTGAATTTAATTGAAGAAAAAAAAATATGGGTAATTGTTTTAGAGATTTTAGATGCCAAATGATAACACCCCACACGTGTGAGATTAGGCGTGCGAAGCGCGCTATATACGCTAGTCTTATTAAAAAATCCCTGTGAGATTCGAGATGTGTGAAGGACGGTGACCCTTTGCCGCTGGGTGGAACTCTTTCACTTCCGGTGCCGTTTATCCGTGGCTATTTTTGTATATAAGATCACAGAGAGGCGTCTTCGGTCGTGGTCTTCAGTCACAGGAATGCACGTGTACAAACGTCAAGTTTCAATCGCTAATGCTCTATCATTCCGGATTTACTAACTATCAATTTTTGGTCATACTGAAAGAGAGGAACGAATCCGTTCAACTGAACTACGTGAGTCTAAAATCTATAATATTCAATAGTTATTGAATATTACAGATTTTTCAATGACTATTATAGAAGACGTTTTTCGGCGAGTAAGAAGAAAAGAAGGAGGAATTAAGGTCGTACATGACTTAGTAGTACTTGCACATGACTTAATTAAATTTTTGGGTGCCTGGATGGGCCACAGCAATAATTATTAATTTTCCTCTCTTTCTTATTAAGCTACCGCGCTAATCAGAGTCATTAGTACTCTAGCTTGACTCATGATGTACCGGGAGTACTACCTTAATAAAGATTCCCTTAATGGGAAAAATCGAAATAGGTAAAACTACCTCTGTATCCTGTTTTATTGATAGGCACGTGTTTATCAATGTACGTAATAATAATCGATTATCAATTAACACTCCATTTAAGTGTACAACAGAAGATAAAGGCGCTCGAGAAAGAAGCTAATTTATATTGACATATGCGAATATACACGCACTCCTTTCAATTTGTATTTCTGCATCATTGCCTGGGAATCGTATCCGTCTTTCTTACCCTTTTTTTCCTCAATCTCTCTCCCATAATCTCCCATACGTACTCGCGCCATCTCCTGACGGCGGATAGCGGACGTGCAATTGGTCGCTTCCTACAACTTCCGGTTTTTGCATGAGAACGCTGATTATTCTCTCGTCAGAAGTTAGCTGCCTAAGAGAAGCGAGTAAATGAATACTGTCAATTCCTTTTGTAGAAAAAAACTCAAATTAAACGATTATCAGACGAATGCACTGAAAAAAAAATTAAATGTAAGTGCAAACGTTCATCGATGAGAAAAAGCATGAGAAATATATTTATTTCAATCGCAGCTAAATTAATACATTTCTTTTAGCATTGTCGTGAAAGACATATTTATTTCAGGGTTGGAATGGCACTCGTTAGAATCTACTTTATCCTATCTGCATCGTACTAAGATTTTATGATGCTGGTGGAAGTTCTCTTTTTTCACTTGAATTATAAAAAAAACTAATTCACCAAGGCAAAGAAGCGGAGCGGCAAAGTCTAATCGTGTGCATGTGAGTTTTGTATTGGTATACATACCGTTACGCAAAGGCTATCCCACTTTCACAAGCCCAGACGTATAAATGGCTTACGTGTATAATTGTATATGGTTACCATGAAACTTGTACATGGTCGGTTTGAGTGGCACTTGTGTGCATTGTAATAATTTTTCCAGACAAGTGACTAAAAACTTTTGTTTCAAGTCGTGGTAAATAAATCACCCTCTGCCGTGTAGGTGAATTAACAAATAATCCGCATTTTAGAAAATTAATATCTCTAGTCCCCAATCTGCGAGCCGATTTCAAGTCTATTTGTAATCAAGACTAGACTTGACTAGACACATAGTGCACTATTTAATTTTTAATGATAACGAAAGGAAAATTCGCATCGAAAAGGTCAACAGTATGAGTGCAAACATTGATCATTAATTGCATTTGTTCTTCTCTGTGCATAAATATTATATGATATATATCAGTCAATGTACAAATACACTGACGATATTTTAACATGAGAATATTTATAATTTCCAGAATAAGGGCATTCATTCTCTTTCCCGGGGTGAAATTGCATAAGATTATCTGTGATTAAAATAAATAAAAACTGTACAATGCATTAAGATCTTAACAAACACACATGCACATGAGTAATTCTGAAATAATGGTCATTTAATTACTGATAATTTCGATGAATTTTCATACCTTAGAACTTGGTGGTGATATTCATTTAAATGCTCTCTTTTGAGTGTTGTCATTCGCTGGACAGAGCGCGTGCCGGCTTTAATGAGTCAATCATTTAACTCGATTCACCGCTAAAGGAATTCTGTTTATCACCATCCAAACCACGTACACTTGGGAATAAATTCCCTTGTTGTACATATTTATTAACAGTATTTACAATTATCCTGGTATGGTGTATATCAGATGATAACAATAACTTTAAGGCAACTAACTCATTTTTAACATTTTATCTCTTATTTATTCATTTATGAACGACCATTACATCGAATAATAAGAAAATACGAATGCTATATAAAGAGCTTCTTAGAAATAAATGTTTCTGTTCGGCTTCTCACGGTTTCCCAATTGGGATTTCGTATACATATTCCCTAAACCCGAAAACCTGAATAATGATTGTTGATTGTTAATCAAAGATCAATTTCGTCGTTGTGGAACATTGATAAATAAATATCGATGGATTCTTCATGGCCCTTCACAAGTTTGAATGATAATAATTTAAAAATTTGCACTTCACACTGTATGTTTATACAAAAGGTATTACAATCGCTCTTCCATTGGATCCGTCAACAAATTATTTTTATTAGTCTATCTATTGATCTCATATTAACAAATCAGTGTCCTATCATTGAAAATAATTTTTTTGTACCCTACGCAAGTCCAACGTCCAGTGACATCATTATTAAAAATCCTACCATTGCACCCCAGCTGGCGATTTTTCCGTTTCCACTGCAATCATAGAAATTCAAATTAATTAAAATATTTTAATAATACTCAATGAACGTCACGTGAGTTTTGATAAAAATTTAAAGAGTTGTAGGCGAAGATTAAAAAAGTATTATATCAAAGAATGTGAAATTAATTCGTCGGCTGATTTATTTCGTTGACTACTGCGACCGTGTGTATCTTCTCTTGAGACCTTAAATCACCCGATGAAAGAAGATTTTATCAGTGGGCGAGAAAGGTAAACTTGGTGAAAGCAAAGTGCCACGCTGGAATGGACTGGGATAGGAATACATACGAAAAGACTCATTTCTTTTTTATCATTCCATTTCACGATCGCATCTTCTCCGATATTTCATTTTCCGACTCAATTATTCCCTAGACCTTGTAGAAATTATTGATGTTGATAGTGAGAAAGGGAAACATCTATGTGAGACTAGGGCAGCTCTCGCGAAATGCGAAACATTCGGATTAAGCAGTTGATGAATAACGACTTGTAGGACATGTGCAACCATCGGCTGGACGAAACCGATAAAATACACGATTGTGAAGTTTTTACATAAAATTAATCATGTACGTTACCTTTGATGCGCTTCCGGGATAATGTCGTCAACGACGACATAAATCATGGCGCCTGCAGCAAAAGCAAGTGCATAAGGGAGAGCTGGTGCTGCGAGTGAAACGCCCGCAGCGCCGAGGACACCAGCAATTGGCTCAACCATACCCGATAATTGGCCATACCAGAAGCTCTTGAGAGTGCTGAAACCAGCTGCTTGAAGGGGCAATGATACTGCCAGTCCTTCAGGGAAATTTTGGATTCCGATACCAATCGCTAGATTCCTGCAACAGAAGTATGAAATCATTCTTCAAGCGTCCCCTTGAATTATAATTGAATTATATATTTCCATGCTAGATTAAGTACTTCATCACCGCATAAAATGAGCTTGGTAAAAAATCGTAATATTGCCAACAATGATGATGAAAAAAATTGATTGATTTATTAAATAAATCAGTGGTGATATGGAGTCAGTGGAGATCATCTGAACAAACTAACAACAGGTGTATACTTCAACTCTTCTAATGACGCTCAACTTCCTCACATGACGATGTCACATGTTTTACTTCTTGAATAGGACTCCCTTACCATACAATCTATACTGCAATATATACAAACTATACTGAACAATTTAACTATCATCAAACAGGAATACCAGATGTTTTCAGCGATCTGAGTCCAACACTGGTAGCCTTTTAGAGGAGGAAAAACCAAATGATAGAGGGTTTTAGCCACCGTGGCATTTTACCGTAATCCATCTTCATCTCCTGTAGCTCATGATGCTAAGTGAACTGTAAGTAACTATGTCTTGAGTGTATTCCTCAGAAACTGAGCAAGTCGTTTACTTTATATAGACTGAAGAAATGAAGATGAAGTTGGTTCGCAATAGTTAACTATGTTACGCTAATGACAAAATAAATATTGATAACGATCAAAACTCACTAAGACTCAACGGTATTCAGGGATTTAGATTTTATTTAGGTAAAGCCTAACTATAGTAGTTAGAAGGTCATAGTCCTGAGTCGATGGTTATTTTACACTAACTTATGATCCGTGACATCCAATGGCGTATGTCTGAGTTGGTTTTGAGCGTCTTAAAAATCAGGCAGTCTTATTCGTGCCCAAGAGTCTTAGATATTTTCGCCATGGTGGAGCGTGATCTATGGGCAGCGTAATAGGCAGGATGGTACATAGCAGAAGATTAAGGGTGCCGAAGAGGAAAACAGGGAAGAAGAGGTATGCTCAGAGGTGAGTATAGCAACGCGCAGTGCAATCAAGCCGCGAGTGGGGGATCGGGGGGCGAGAAGGAGAAGACGAGGAGGAGGTACAATAAAGAGCGACAGAGTGATAAGGGTAGAAGCAGTTGGGAGAAGGGACAGCAGAAGGTCTACAAGCAGGTGAATGAACGAAGCGCGATCGCATATACTTTGTCGAGCGAGTCCTCTTGGAAACTCGGCATTACAGCGCACCGTTGGAATGCACCCAGCATCGTGTTCCAGGTGAATAAAAAAATAGTTTATACTATAAAAATTGTAGAGAAGAGATGAACGTATTGCATCGTAGTACGTCAGAGTCTAGGTGACTGAATGACCTGACGAGATCACATTCCATGGAGAGTTGAGGGAGGGAGGAAAAGATAGACAGGAACACAGACGAGAAAGAAAAAGAGAAAATAGCAGGACGTTGGATATCACATGTGTCTTTCTCTTTTCTACTCACCCTTAATCATTCTCCTGTCCGGTATCTGCTTAGTATATTTGCAGAAATTCGTAAGTGCATAATTTTTTATAAGGGATTAACACCTCATTCAAGTTCGGGTAATTTCAAGCATGCAGATGGATGATGGTGATGTGGATGATGTAGGACAGTATCGGCACTATTACGATTGGATGGAGATTTAGGATGAGGCTTTAATCATCAACGCTATGCCATCGGGCTACCTATTTCCGCGGGATGTCACAAAGTATGTCGTCTTATCTGACGTACATAGACGGATATATACAGTTAACCAGACGACGCATCTTGCTCAGTTCCATACCGAGGTCACGCTGATTCCTGGAATAACTTCTTGATCGACTTCCTGTTTCTAGGCCTATGCTGAAATTTTACAGCTGTTTACAGCTCAACTCTTCATTTTATTCCGATGGTAAAGATTAACAAAAGCTTTAAACGACGCTAATGAGAACTGGCTGCTCTTGAGCTACAGATATTCTGTTGATGTGAGCAAGGAGAGGGGTTGATTTTCTCTAATATTTATGGTTGTATTTAAAATGCTGACGTAAAAAAACATAAGTGTACCTAGTATCCTGGAGAAAGTGTACCTATCTGAAACTGGAAAAATACGTTCACGAATTATAAAATGCCCATAACAATCATCGGTCTTTCTATTCCACTATAAGGGAGTTCTCATTTTCACCGACAATGTAAAAATAATGAGGGAAAATGTATTTATGACAATAAAAAATTTCTCGTTTTATAATTGTTCTCTGAATTTTTGACGACAATCAAACCTGCGGGTAAACGGGATTTTTTTTCGATTGTCCAATTTTCCCAAAAATTCGGACCTCTCCCTCTCTCCCTCAGAATAAATACTTCATAAAAATGGATTTAACCACAAGAAGACCAAATGATTGCTTGTAATTTATTCCCCAAAGAAATATATCTTTGCATCAGTAGTAAAGATCGACGAAAGTTTCTGACTTAATTCAGCAAAGTGGTGCTACAGTGGCTGCATGTGCCTGGACATACTAGACCTGGTAATATTTTTGAAGTTCCATAAATATTCGCAATGTAGAAATTTCAACGTGGAAAGTTTTATTGTTGAATTTTCTCGGTTATAGTGGGCTCTGGAGGTTTTGATATCTTTTGATATAGGAGTGATCTAAGAAGTGGCAGGCGTGAGAGGGGCGCACAGGGTTGATTTTATGGTCTCTTGGGTTTTCACGGCGTGAGCCGTGGCCGGTGGCCCCGGGACTCGAAGCTGCTCGCCACGGTGTTGGTGGAATGCGGGACGGGCAAATCGCGGTCGGTCCGCTTGCGCCTCGTTCCCATGCATTCCTTACCCCCACCAGGGCTGTCCACCGCCCGCACCCCTCTCGATATATTCCGCTGCCCATCGCTTACGCCGCCGACGTGCTCCTCCTCCGCAACCATCGCCTCCGCCGACCATGCGTCTCTCACCGGTGTAGCTCGTCGTCGTCAGGCAGCTTCCAGCTCTCCTTCTCTCTCTCTCCTGCCTTCTTATTTTTCCCGTTCATCCTTTCCCCATCTCGGATGCTCGAGAATGCCCGATGCCCAATCCGCTCTCCCCCCCCTTCCGTATCAGCTCAGCAGTTCAGCAGCTCAGCAGCATTCAGCAGCTCCGGGCCCACAGACACTCTTTCTCCACTTTGCTTTCCTTTAGGTCTCAACCCAGCGTGCACAGCAGTATACATACTGGGATACTACTCCCCTCTTTTCCGTTTCTCTCATTTTCTTCTCCGCATGCTCCTTACTTTTTTTTATTTTCATTCTTTGATTTTTTTTTTTTTATAGTTTCGGCATGGAGACCAGAGACCGGCGTACGGAAACTCGCACACACCGTAGGTAGCCTCGTTATACTTCCACGGCGCGATCAATTTTTCGATTTCGCACTCGAGAATCGAGGTACCCAAGTCAGCACGAGCTCTTCTGAGAGCACCAAGAAATACCTAATACGGCAGGAGAAGCGAAGAGAGATATGTGAAGCGACAAAAGAGGAACGCAGGACCCGCGATGTCGGGGGAAATTTGTGAAATTTTTCGAAATTAGTCTTTTTACACCTAGGTGTATAACGATACCTCGAACTTCACATTTGGCAAGCACAATGACAAATTTGGCGGGAAGTAACCAAAGGAGGAATAAGAACGTTGGAGTGCGCTGGAGGACAGGAAAAATGGAAAAAATTAAAGAAATGAAAAAAAAATGGAAGAAATGGAAAAAATGTCGATATGATGTTGTTAAATTGCATAAAATAGTTTTTAGGTGAAGGAAAAGAACATTTTATGCCATGAAATGGAATGGCGTTTCTTGAGTGAGTGAATGGAAGAGCCGGCCCATCGGATGAGAAACAAAGAGGTCGAGAAAGAAGCAACCACCGCAGACAACGAAGCGTCGTCGAGGGACATAACGGCACGGGCCCCCGTCGTCTGTTCCGAGTAAAATACGTAGTGCGCATGCGTAATGCTACTGCATTCCAAACATCGCTCTTGTCGTTCCAATCCTGCTTGGTGTACAACTTGAGTTTCCATGAAGAAATGTACTGTTTATTTAGGCACTCGTGTCCATCACAATCTCTATCGTCGCCATAATGATAATCATTATTGTCACGGCGAATTCTTGAGGTCCTCCAAGAAGATGCCACAGTCTAAAGCTGAACTCACCATTCGTCTGATGATCACCGCTCTCCGGATTGAAGCATCTGGCATATAAAAACATAGAGCACAGGTGATAGCGAAACAAAATGATCGATGAGATTTTTTCTTACTCAAAAGACCAGTTGGCAAAGTGCATATTCATTCTATTTTCCAGGAATATGCCAAAGTGCTTTTAATCACAAATAACCAGTATTAGCATTGAGTAAGTTATAACTCGTCAGGTTCAGAAGAGGGAATTCCAACACGATTGGTTGCCACCAGGTTGACCGAGCTGCGGTGATTGCCTTCAAGAAGGTTGCGCTGGAGACTCGTCGTGTGCACAGCATAAACTCTACCTCTAACTCTACATCCTGAAGATGTACAAGAGAGGAGTACAGAGGGTGAAGAAGAGAATACATAACGCAACTAAAAGAAAAAGCCAAGGAAGGAAATCGTAGAAAGGGGTAGAGGAGGTAAGTGCGAAATACGAGACGAGAAAAGTATCGGCGTGGAATGTCACAAGCGTAGAGAACGTCCCGCGGGTCCGGTTCTCAGAACTCAACTCCGGGAATGGCCTCTCTTGCTTGAATGATTATAAACTGCACAGGGCGAAACATGGCGAAGATGTTTATCGTTGTAATCATGCTTCGCGGAATAATGAGGCAATCGGAAGCAAACACACTACCAGTACCGAGTAAAACTCTTTTAGTTATGTATACATAGGGTTTAAATAAAGGAGTTGCATTGACTGTTGAAGTGTAGAAAGAAGGCCTGAAAGATGGATTGCTCGATCGCGGCTATCGGTATCACACCTATAATTAGACTAAATGATATCTGATTGTATAAAAAAATATATGAGGGAAACCCTGGTAGAACATGACGATTGGACCACGATTGGTCAAGGATGCACCAGTGTTGGCCAACAGGATAATAAACTCGGTCAATGCTAATCCAATCCTCATCGTATCAAACATTCCATGGGAACATGTTACGAGAAGTAACTAATCTGGGACTCTCGAAGAATGGGCCAAAAACTCGAAATATCTCGGGGATAATCTCAACCCATTGGTGTAGACATAGCATAGCACAGAGAAGAACCTTCAGCAAACATACATGTTAAGGTGAGTCCGTTGCGCTGCATTCCTCGGGACATTGCTCTCGGACTTATCGATTCCCTTCTCTTTCCTGACATTTTCGAGCCAACCCACCACCAGGATCCGCCAGTTTGAAGAGACAACGTTAACGCGGATTCTTCATTCGCATCTCAAGTTTATCTCATTCTTTCATTTAATATTTCCAAGTGGATATTTACCTCGGCCTGGTTTTAAATCTACAACCGAGCGCTTGCATTCCAGGGCGTACTTCCCCTTCCCTGATTTTCTTCGCCTCCAAGACTTTTTTCTCAGTGTCTTGAATTGGCACCATCATCCTTTCACTTCGACTAAATTATGAAAATGGATTTTCATCTAATGATTATTCAAATGGCCCATTGGTGTCAGAAATAAGAAAACTGTGATAAATGGTTAAATCCAAAAGATAGACAAAGAGATGGGCTGGGGGAAATGGTCCATCGGTAAATAATGCAATGATGGGGAAAAGTAGGGAGAATTGAGAGTAATAAATGGCGAAATAAACTCTTGGATCCAGGGAGAACTCAGGAAGAATCGGAATGAGGCATTCAAGTCGTTTGAAGGAAGGGAAGATAGATGCAGAGAGAATGAGAAGTCCGGCTGGCTTTTGTATCTGGAGTCGTACTTCGGTCCTGTCGGTATATAATAAGGCAGATGAGGAGGATAGCGCTGAAATGAGATGGTTTCGTCGGCAGCTTTGTCCGGCGCCATGTTTAACATAGCACCACCTCATCTACGTGCAACACCGTGGTACAACCGGAGGGAGGCCCTTGGGCTCTCTACTGGAGTTCTTTATTTTATTCTCTCTTTTTTTACACACTCACCTTCTCCCACCGTTTCACTCATTGGCGACTGCTTTGGATCTTGGCATGCCTGTGGGTTCAGCTTATAAAAATTGCATCCTCGCACCCTTTGTGATCGACGTTCGAAAAATGTTCTCACCGCTGTACCCTCAAAGTTTTACAAAAAAAAAAAAATATAGCAAACGTGCTGTTCAGGGGATTCAACTTTTATCACCGGTTAAAATTAGATGTGTCGGACACCTACATAAAAATAAAGCACTCTGCACTGAGAAAATAATCATCTCTTTAAAGAATAGGATATTTCTGATTTTCTTTTGATATTTTTACCGGAAGAATTTTTTTTCCATTTTTTCCACGCGTTTTAACACGAGACGACAGAGTGATTCCTTTTTGGTTTTATTTAAAAAATAATAAAAATCATTCTATGCAAGTTATGCAAGGTGGAAAATTCTATCTACACTTTTTCTTAAATAATAAACAAAATAGTCAATCCTGGAGCGTGATTGGAAAAAGGCAATTACCTCGATGGTGAAAATGGACGAAGGGTTTTTTTTTCATGGGGATGTTCATATATAATTGAGTGAAGGAAAGCAACGTAGAGGTATATTTAATTAAATGAAGGTTGAATAGAGTTTTGATTCTTGAATAGACTGCGATGGCTAGGATCTGCCTCGAGGATTGCTCACGAGGTGAGAGGGGCAAATAACGTTATCGTCTTCCGCCTCGACGACAATGATAGTACAAGTAGAGTAGCGACAGCATGTACAGAGTAAATAAAATGAAAATAGACGGAGAATACATAAAGGATGAATAAGAATAATACTAAAAAGGGGCATATGAAGGGAGCAAAAAAGGCGAACGGAATAAAAGAGAAATGCAGACCCAGATTCTGCGAAAAATCCGCATAGCTACGAGTGACTCAGTACCAGCTCTCCTTGAGCATTTTACTTGGAGTGCACTGAGCCGAGTACACACCATCCTCTCCGTTCATTCTTTTCCTATCTTGGCCTCTCGCTTCCTTTCTACCGGAGTTGAAATCCAATCCGGGCTGGCAGGAAAAAAAATTTTTAAAGTGTCTGCAGGTCTACTCAGCAATTGCCACTTTACAAAACTTATGAAATGTTCATTCACGATTTCTTTCTCGAGTTTGAAAGAACTCTAGCCACCTGAACCGTCATAGCAATCTAGCCTACGTGTACAATCCGTTTCCTTGGAAAGGACACGAGCTCTCAACGGTCATCGCACTTGTTGCAAGATTGTCATTGCGCAAAGACTAAATAATCCAGTGATTGGAGATCTGTTGAATGTTCATATTGGCATTCAAGTAGTTCCGCAACATCTACACCATTACACCTTTTATTGATGGTTATCGAAATTACCTTACTGAATATTTAGAGGTAAATGGAAAATTTCCTGCAGTTCTTAAAAAGATACCAACATTTTTCATTCCACCTTCACCTCACCACTTTCAACACCCCTAAAAATTAGAATTGATGCCATTATATTCGCAATTATATTAACACTTTCCATGAAATCGTGGTAATGATAAAGACAGCATCAGAACAAAACTCTGTGTGTATATATAATTATTTTAACGCTGGTTCATTATTAATATCAAGAAGAAACAATTTATGGAAAATTCACATGAGTAACCGAAAACGACATACCAGTATAGTGACGCACAATATATCTGTAGATTTTTACCTAATTATTCCTTGATGACATTCTTGATACATTACGTAACCCGCACGTGTATTTCTGAGCTAATGACGGCAGCACTTCAGTTTTTTAAAATATTGTACACCTACCAGTTGATTGAGTAAACGAAAGGAAAAAGCGTATCAAAGTTTAAAGCCTACGAAAACCACAGATTTTTATGTGTGAGAAAAATTCCGTGAGAGATAGCATCGATTACACTAACGGAAAATGAAAAAAAAAAAATGCGGAAAATAGTGAAAAAATATTCATAATTTTCTCGTCGTATTCCTCTCGTTTCCCGAATTAAATGATGATTAGTATGTAATTTGCATAGAGATGATCAGATTTTTCACAGCATACTTGCCAGTTGCTTGAAAAAACTTGCAGGTATTCTAAAGTGTATAAGTGTGTTTTCAACTAGAAGTTAGAAAGAGAGAGGGACGAGGGAAGAAGAAACTCGACATATACGTGCGAACATTCAAGTGTCGTTCTATATACATGAATGTATGCATCGAGAACGTACTTTGTACACAAGAGCCACACACAAGCTAAAAAAAAATTAAATGAGTCGAAAGTCGCGTAACATACCAACTTCTCTATCTTCAAAGGTTATCTATTGAGGTCCCGAAACGTTCAATTTCATTCATAACCGTAAAACCTCGTTCATCTTCACAAAATATGCTATTCGAATTCAATTTTTTATCTCATTTTTATTATAATCATACATCGGCGACTGTGAGACGTCAAAAAACTTCAACTTTAGATTACTTTGTTTGTTATCACTTCGATTAGGTTGAATGGGGCAAGTTGGACCATTTTATCAGTTAATATACATGAAATAATAGAGTATTCCATGTATACTCTATCTAACCCGCGAAATTATTTTACAATGTTAGACTACCTAGCGATTTATCGATTTTTATAATGAGTATTAAAGGGCTGAGGAGATACACGAAATAACATTCTTTCAAGATGCAGTGGTATGCACGTAGGAGGGAATGAGAGAGGATAATAAAACTCATACCGGAAGTTGCGATTCGAGCGGATAAACGTCAGCTGCTATTTATAAAGTTGAAGAGCAAGGGATGTCAGTTTGTCTCGAATGGCTGTAAGTTAGGCCATAAAGTATCGGACAATCGGCTGTATGGCGGATGCCTTCCTATTTTATGCGTGCATAATGCTGATTTAGAAATAGCTCCCTTTAGTGGTATCGTCTATATATGTAGTGATTGCATAAATTAATATTTCGAAACGAAATATTACCAACTGAGAATGATTCAGTCAAGAGATTATCTTGTTTTCATCCCTGTACATAATCAACATTTGTAAAAGCACAATAATGTCCATATTTTTTACAGTTCATTTTTAAATCCAGAAATTTTTTCCATGTGCTATTAAATTAATTATATTTTCAATGAAAAGTCATTGGAAAAAATAACATCTCGTATGCGAAGCAACGCAAGACGATAAGCTTATGTGATTGCGCTACAGCTATTGTTGCTAATAAATTAGCAATGCATTTGCACACGGCTGATCATTTCTATGAGTCTTCCTAAATGATTATATTCATTTGAAAATTTCGTAATTATTACATATCTGAATTTCATCGAAGCACCTTCTATGCTAATTAAAAAAAAAAACCAATAAAATTATTCATATAAAACATCGCATGCTTATGTATGGAGAAAATTGTAAAACCAGGCTACACAAATCCATACATATATAGACGCAGGTATCAGCTAGAAATCGCATAGTTGGTCTTTTTAGAGACAATAGTTAGTCCCCATGACACAAAAAATTTGAAAGTTAAATTTGATCGAATACAAAGCCTCTATGCGGAGGGAAAAAAATAAATGCCACGAAGGGGGAATTTTCGTATAGATTTCACTAGACGGAAAGAGGATTAAGGGCATTACATACGTTGATCGACACGTAACTGAGAGAACACGTGGTACCGAGAGGCATTGCGGCCTTACAGGGTCGAAAACGCGGACAACCGCGAGCAACCGCGAGATACAGAGCGCGGGGTGAACAGAGGGGGGAAGGAAGCAGCCGCTGCGATAGGCACTGGTACCAGTGCTTCTGTGTCGTGTGAGTAACGGGGGAATGATAACCCGTATCATGGACCAATGTGGCCGAGTTGAGTTTTAAGGCTTCCACTTTTATATTTTTTTTTATGGAGATTTTTCCTCTCCGGTTTCAATCCTCACGTGTTTTTTCTCACATAAGCATTTTCATTCTTTCAATGGAATTTCTCAACCACCTATCATCATGTTAAGCAATCAAATTAAATAGTTTAATCGAAAACGTTATAAGTATAAGTAATGTTGAATTAATTACATTATGATAACGGTAGTATCTGGTTTCACGAAGGTGAATGAATATTATTATCGGAGATTGTGGCATTCCATATTCTGACCAGCATCAATACTACTGGGATATTTTTCATTGTCAATTAAGAAGGGATAGAGCTATTTATTTCGACAATTTTTAAGGCCCCATCGATGAGTTACTAACACACATCGATGGATTCAGCGAAAGTCTCTGTCAGTTCAAGGCAATACATATTTCTAGAAATGTTAGATTGTACTGTTCATCAGCGCAGGGAGAAAAAATCCCAAAATTATTATAAGAATATATCATATTGTTATAATTGCAGGGGAAAATGGTCAAATCGATCTGTGACCCACGTGAAAAGGTCCAATGGAGTTGACCAATGAGGAATTAGGCTTGCGCGTTTCGAGGTATTTCGACTCGGGTGAACTTCATTTTTAGGTTTCTACTTTCATACTAAGGACAGCAATAATTTTCAATATAAAGATTGAAAATAGGTCGTCAACTTATCAGAATTAATTTCCATACAAGGAAAATCGGTCGTAATTTTAAATCAATGACTCGGTAATTTATCATTCTCCCCTTGAAAATTGACAATTATTTATGAATAGTAGTGAATGTGCACTAAATCGAAAGAATTAGAAGTGAAATTGGCTATTTTAAAAGGAGGAGAGTTGTGAAATGTAGTTGGTGTAATTTGATAAAAGAATTACAAGAGTGAGTAATATAAGGGTGTAAGTTAGTGTTTGAGAAGTAAATTCGCTCTAGAGACAGCAAGCTCAAGGATGGGAGTAATTGAAGAAACCGAGTTAAGGTAGGGATGGAATGCGCGGCGCCTAGGGCTCGTTGAATTCCAGGACTACACGTGCCCCTTATTCCCTCCCCCTCCGCCGCCCCATCCGACGCCAGTCCCTGTCCGTGCCAATAAACTTTGCCTCTGGCCCTGCTTGCCCTGGCCCACCGCAGCTTGCGACCACCATGGAACTCATTCATGAGGACCTCCTACCACGAATCTCTTTCTCCAGTATTTGCAAATTAATTTCCACTTGGTGGCATACTTGCGACATCTCGCGGATGGAATTTTCATTGGAAATTTCGGTGTAAATAGACGGGCAAATCTCTCAACTCCCGTTTTAGTACACGAGTAAATGAAATGGTATTTCTTTGAGATTCTTAATTTTGAAAAACCTTTTTCATTATGGCCCGGATGGAGGGAATTTTTTCTCGACTGGCGACTTTACGCCCTCCTACTCCGCGGACAAAACCCGAACCTTGATCTCAAGCGATGCCTTGCCGGTAACTACGGCAATCGCTGGAAACCAGGTCAACATCGGAGAGTGGGGCTTTGGACGGCGCCGGAAAAATATATTACGCACGCGTTTCATACAAAATTTTATGTCATTGCGGCCGGAATCCGCGATTTAACCGAGCGAAGCGAGGTTAGAATCGCGTGATTACGGGCACCGATGGCATAAATGTTTTCATTGTTTTTTTTTTAATTCGAAAAGTGCATGAAGATATTCCAGATACCACTAAGGTGGAATGGGAGATTTATAGGGTATAGGTGCAATTTTTGTTCAAATTTATAAAATTGCATTTATCTTGTTGCCTATGGGTCCTGGCGCAAAAATAAGGTCATATTCGTTTATATCTTGGCGAGACGCATCGATTACACATATAGTGAAGCGAGATAATCGCATTTTCTAAATCGAAAAAAAATTCGCGAAAATCGACTTTTCGATGCATGAAATCGATGCGTCTCGTCGCGTCCTTTACGAATCTGGGCGTATTTTTGCGCTA